AAAATAAACATCTAGCATATTGTGAATTTTTTCTGCAACTCTATTCAACATATTTTGTTTACTCCATAACAATGAACACTTGCCCTTTGCTTTCCTATAAAGTTTCTTAAATTACTAAGTGAATTCTGTACCATTTTCTCAACATCAGTTTTTGCTATTAAGTCCAGTATATGACTAGCATATCTAAATTGTTGTGGTAACTGAACATGTAAATCACTCTCTTCTTGTTCATGAATGTTTTTGTTCAAAATGTCATACTAACTCATATTTTCACTGTATAAATCATCATCATCTTCATTACTATCCTCCTCATTCTCTGAATTTTCGGAAACAGTATTTGATTTAAAAGCTTTTACAAAATTTGAGCAACTGTCTGTTGTTGTAGCAACTATCTTGTTTTGTATTTTATAGGCTGTATGAATCTTATACAAAGCAGAAACCAAAACAATATCTGTTTGTCTTTTATTTGGCTACATGCTAAAGATACTTAACTATGCTGAAGAGTCTTTTGATTTTTCAAATGGCAAGTAACCCCAATATAACTTCTTTTACCTTTGCTCCAATGGTCAGCTGTGGTTGCAACTAGAGGTGTACCGGATATTTTTGCCAGATATGCCGGATATTAAACTTTTCTAAAGTTCTATAAGTGTTTATGAAGAAAAAACAGGTCTTGCCAGTCTACAATAAATAGTATTCAAGATCTTACTTCAAAAAATCAAGAGAAAAACTGTATGAAATGGGATATGTGCTGACAAAATATAAAAAATAGTAATTAAAAAAAACAAAAAGTCTGGCTATGAAAACGATTTTTTCTTATACATTATTAACACATATACCTGTTTGATACAAGTTTTTTCTTGATTTTATTTTTTTAAATCTTGAACACTATTTAATGTAGAATGGCAAGACTTGTTTTTTCTTTATAACCACTTATAGAACTTTAGAAAAGTTCAATATCCAGCATATCCAGCAAAAAATTTCCGGTACACCTCTAGTTGCAACCACAGCTGAGCTGTTGAAGTAATATTTTTAGCCATTAATGAATAAAGACTAATATGTAGTTTTTAAGTTTTACTGCAAATAACTTTCAGGTTTTTAGGAAGGCCTAACTTTACCAAATTTACAAACGATGGTTTATCAACTATAGATAAAGGTTGTGTTTCACTACCAACAAAATTTACTACAAGTTGATCTAAACTTTTTTGATATATTTTAAAACTCTCGTATCCTTTATTGGTTCCATATTTCTCAAGAGTTGATTGCAGCCCATCCTTCATATTTTTCAATGAAAATTTTCTTTTTTAATCTAAGCATTTTTTTTACCTTCTTTTATAGCTTTTTCAAAAGCAGCTATTTTAAATGGATCAACTCTCTTAAAATGAAACAAATATTTATTTTTTTTAATAAAAAATTTGACAAATATTTAAACAAAAAAAAATGTAGAACTAAATTTTATTTTTAACTTTTATTTATGACATTTTCTGGCAGTGTCACCAAATAGTATAGGATTAATTGACAGCAGCGCATGTAAAGAAGCAATTTGAATGTAGTAAGTATATCCCGGCAGTGTATTGGTAATGTGGAAAAACAGTTTGAATATATTATATATAATAATATTTTTATAATAAATTTTTTTTTATAAACCATCTTCAGGCAGTAAAAAAAAAGTCTTCTATAAGAAATCAAACACAGGCCTTTGACGTCTCAGCTTTTTTAAAAACCGCTGTGCTACGCAAGCATATTAGAGCTGAAAAAATTTAAAATTATATATTAAATTATCCAGCCGGTAACTAACCTTAGAATTATTTGCTGGCACTGTTAGCAAATATCTTTTGCATTTATTAATTAAATATAAAGTTCATCAGAAATTTCAGCAAATTCAAAAAATGGAAACTGTAGCAAATTATTGAATGAGCAATAATTGTGCATATGTTTTTAAGGCGAATCCAGAGAATCTTTAATAAGGGCAAGTCTGTAATTCCACCTCTTTTGTATGGTTCAGACTTTGTCACCTCACCTAAAGACAAAGCTGAATTGTTTGCCAAGAACTTTTCATAAATATCATCTCTTGATGCCACTAGTTGCGTTCTACCTGATATAGCCGTCAAACAGGTTGATCCATTGCTCGATCTTTGTATCACTCCAGCTTCTGTATCTAAAGTGATTTCCCGCTTAGACTCTTCTGCAGTTTGCAGCCCGGACAACATACCTGTTATAATTTTGCAGAAGTGTTCTCCGGAGCTGTCGTCTATCCTTTCAAAACTATTTAACAAGTGCTTATCAGAGTCTTGTTTTCCAGCCTGCTGGAAAGCAGCATCTGTTATCCCTATTTTTAAAAATTCTGGAGAGCGATCCGATTCGTCCCGTTAGTCTTCTTCCTATCATAAGCAAGGTTTTTGAATCTTTAATTAACAAACACTTAATCTCTCATCTCGAATCTCATAATCTACTCTTTGATCATCAATATGGATTTCGATCCTTTTGTTCTACAACTGATTTGCTATCAATAATAACCAATAGGTTTTATCGCGCATTAGATAAAGGTGGAGAAGTTAAGGCCATCGCTCTTGACATTTCTAAAGCGTTTGATAAAGTTTGGCGTGCTGGTCTTCTCCATAAGCTTTCTTCTTACGGTTTATCTGGAAACACCTTTAAGATTTCTGAATCGTTCTTTTCCAATCGTAGTATAAAAATTGTCCTCGATGGACAGCACTCTTCTTCTTATTCTGTAACCTCAGGAGTTCCTCAAGGTTCAATCCTTGGCCTTATTCTTTTTTTAATTTACATTAACGATCTTCAAGATATTCTCAAATCTAAGGTGGCATTGTTCGCTGATGATACTACCATTTATTCTTGTCACGATAAGAAGCCAACTCCCGCTGATTGCTTGTAGGGGGCATCTGAGCTTGAAAAGGATCTCACTTCTGCTACAGCATGGGGCTCACAGTGGCTGGTGAACTTTAATTCAGATAAAACTCAATTTTTTTCAGCCAATCGTTATCGCAATAATTTAGACCCTATATTTATGAACGGTAATGTACTGGATGAGTCTCCTACCCTTCATCTTCTAGGATTAACTCTTACTTCTGATCTTTCTTGGAAACCTCATATCAAATCCGTTGCAAAATTAGCATCTGCTAAAGTTGCTTCTCTTTATCGAGCTCGACACTTTCTTACTCTGGATTCTATTCTCTATCTCTATAAATCTCAAATCCGGCCTTGCGTGGAATACTGTTGCCATATCTGGGGCGGATCTTCTAATGATGCTCTTTCTCTTTTAGACAAGGTGCAAAAACACATAGTAAACATAGTTGGACCTGCTCTTGCAGCCAACTTAAACCTCTGTCACATCGTCGTAATGTTGCTTCTCTTTCTCTTTTCTACAAATACTAGAATGGGCACTGCTCTAAAGAGCTAGCGTCTCTTGTGCCATTTACTAAAATTCATTTTTGTGTTACTCGTCATTCAATTAAGTCTCATCCTTTTTCTGTTACTGTTCCTAAGTGCTCAAAAAACTTTTACTCGTCTAGTTTTTTACCTCGAACATCAGTTCTTTGAAATTCGCTTCCTTTATCTTGCTTTCCTGATTCATATAATTTGCAATCTTTTAAATCGTCTGTCAATCGTTAACTTGCTCTACAATCTTCATCTTTTCTCTTCCAGTAACTTCCAACACTAATTAGTGGTTGCTTGCAGCCTTGTTAGAAGCAAAGATGTTTAAAAAAAAAAATTGGATTGCTTACTACAACCGCGTGAAATAAAATTACTTCCTTAAGGTTAGCCTTTTTAAAGTAACTCTGCGGCAAATTTTGCCTTAAGTTGGCCAAACGTACTATTTCTAAAACTATATCCAAATACAAAGCCTTATGTTTTTCGAACTGTAAAATTAACTATAACAAAAGGCTATGGGTTTAAATTTTAAGGGACAATTAAAAGAAAAAAAGTTTTGAGGAATGTGAACATAAAGTATAATAATAATAGGTGAAAAATAATATAATAATACGAAAAATAATATTGGATAATACTTTTCAATATATAAGCATTTTTAGATATGTCGATTTTAGGTAATATAAGTGGCTCATGATAGGTACCATTTCCTATTTTACTGACTACTATTTGGTCTACCTGTCCATTAATTGGTACACAATTAAAATCTCTGTTAAAATAATTTTTTTTTCTAATTGAGCATGTTTTATAACTAACAAAAGTTTTAATAAGGTTTGCCTTAAGTTTCAAAATAATTAAGTTTGTATTAAATAACTTCGATCTTTTATCAAGTCTTTTAAGTGAAACACTTTTAAATTAAAAAATAACATGTTATTTTTTTTTGGCTCGCTTTTTCAAGTTTATTTATTTATTTTTTTCTCATTCATTAAGATTTATTTTTATTTTTTAGTTAATACTTTTTTTATTTTATTTTTTTAGTTTTGTTTGTTTTTTTAGCATACTTTTAAAATGTGCAAATTGTCAAAATATGTCATGCATTGTCAGAAAATCAGCATGCACCTAATGTGAAACAATAGTTTCCTTATAAAAGTAATATACTTTGACATGACAATTCTATGTTATTTCTGTTATTTAACTGTCTTCGATCATTTTTTGACAATAAGATTATTAGCATCGTTTTAAAAGCTAACAAAATAAAGAAAAAATAGTTTAGTTAAATAATACACTTAATTTCTTAATTTTATCCTTTATAGCTTTTAAGTTCCTTTTGTATTTTAGCATTCTTAAGACAACTATGCATATAAAAATCTTTTTAAGTGCATAATTTATACTTTTTAGATATTCTTTTTTTAATTAGATTAGAATTTTTAAAAGTTTAAATAAATTTCATGACATTTATAGCATTTTAAAATTGAGATATTTCTGAATTAAGTGTAAAAATATGAATAAAAAAGACACAAATGGATTGGATGCTTTGATATAGAACAACCAGTTATTCTACTGGGCAACTCAAAGAACATCGATTTTTTAAAGTATACTCGTTTTGTGTTTAGTTAATAATATTGGTTTATCAAAGACTTTAAGAAGCCTTGCTGGTTCAGATCAACACATGTGAGTTTGAATTTTAATAAGTTTGTAAATTGTAATTTATTCTTCATTACTTAGACCACTTATTATATATAAATTTCATAAATTTTAATTAAAAATTCATAACATTGCTTTAGATCTTCATCTTTCTTTTTTTTTATTTTTTATAATCTATAATTTGAGACTTACATTTGAGTAATTATGAGTACAATTACGACTACATACAAAACTCAGTATATTTTTTTTAAAGCATGTGGTTATATAAATTTTAGTTATTAAAATATTTTCTGACACACTGTCAAGTTCATGACCAGGGCTTTGAAGCTGAAGTCTAAAAATTGGCTCTGGCTCCAGGCTCTGCCTCCATTAGAATTTTTGGTTCCAAGTCCGGCTCCAGCTCTGGAGTGGCTCCGCAATAAAAACAAATCAAAAATTTTTTTTAATGTTTTATGAAAGTAACTTAAGTACTATTAATATTTTGTTAATCAAAATCTTGATTCATCCTTAAAAATAAAGTTTCTAAAATATCAGGTTTGAGTGAAGAATGCAGATTGCTTGATACAAACTTAAGAGCAGAAAATAGCCTCTCTACACTTACTTGTGAGATTGGTATACAAGTGACCAAAATTATTTTTGATTCAAAAGAGAAGATTTTTGGTCACACTTTTTTTCTTTTTTATCAAAAGAGAATTTTCTTTTTTATCAAAAGAGAAGATTTTTGGTCACTCCTTTTTCTTTTTTTTTTATCAAGCTCCTTTTCAAACTCATCCTCTTCTTCATCGGAATTAGATTCACATAAAACTGAAAGAAGTACTGAGATAACACAGCAGTATTTCTTAGTTCTTGACTTTATATTATTTTTTTGGCATCTCTTTTATAAATTTTTTCTGTTATTGTTTTTAAGCCTTGTTTTGCTCGTATTATCTGGTTTTCTTCCAATAGTACTCTATATCTAGCATCAACATAAACTGCAGCTAGAAATATATCACTATCATAAAGTTTTTTACTTGTTTCTGCATAGATTTTAAAATTTGTTCTGCAAATAGTCCCTGATTCTAATCTAGGTCAGATTTCAATTTCAACTATTCCTTTAGGAACTCTCCTGGAGTAATGTAGACTAGCTGTCACATCATGTGGCTTTTTTAAAAGATTGTAAAGATGACTAGATTTATTCCATATTTCAGGGCGTAGAAAGAATATCTGATCAACTGCAGCAAATTGCTCACACAGTGGACACAAAAGTAGTAATCTTTCAATAATCCCGAATGTAGAACCCCAGCATGTCTCATTATCTAAAATTAAAACAACCTTGCATTGATTCTTTACTTAAAATATTGTATGTGAGTTTCTTAGTATCTTTACAAAATAACGAACTTTTGCCAAAAGTTGGGTAATGTTTTTAAATTATAGGAATAGTTAGCTGTAAAGTGTGAATAACACAGAGCATCAATTTAATGTCAGTAGACAATTGTTGACACTATTCTGGGATAATAATTTTCTACCTTGACTTTCTTCTTCATTTGTACCCTGTTGTTAAATTCCACTTGTTCTTAATCATGCAAAGCTTTATCTAATATTTGTTTAAAATTGTGATTGCTCTAATCATATTGGCTGCATTGTCTACACTTGTAGATACTACTTGATCATTGCTAATACCAAATCTATATAGAGTATCTTCCACCTTTTTTGATAGCAATAGAATTGTGCTGTCCTTGCGTATCTATCAGTGCCAAAGTTTTGAAAAAAATTTTCGCATAATGATTGAGTTTAAAGCTATTTTTATAAAAAGTTATGAAAAGAAAGTAAATGACAGTTTTTTAAAATAAGAGAAATAATAAAAAAGATAGTATAAACAAAAGTAATATCAATAAAATAAAAAATAAAAAAAATAGAAAAAAAACATTAATAATTTTTTCCTAATTTTATTTGGAATTCACATGTTTAAATCTACTTTAAAAATGTTTCAACTAATTAAAAACGTTAAAACAAATCATGTTACTTAACACATAGATAAAGTATTTTTTCGTTAAGGATTGTCCATACAGTACGTACAAAAAGGAGTGTACATGTACGCTTGAATGGGGGAGAGGGGTAAATTATAAAAGTAAAGAGATACTAAATTTAAAAAAATATTATAAAATGTTGAGTAGGTAGGTTAAAACGATAGGTACTTTAAGGGAGGTGGAGGTTACTCAAAAAAGTGTAAAGCAAAATGCAGGATGAGGGGGGTGAGGGTGGATAGGAGATGGAAAAAAAACTTACGTACTTTATGAACGACCCCTTAACCGATCATTGACATTGTTTAGAAGTATTGTTTTAAAGTAACTTATCATAATCTACAATAAGAACTACATGATATATCACTCAAAATAATTGGATAAAAATTAAATTCTGAAATATTTTCATATGGTTTATTAAAAGAAACAAAAAAATTTTTTGTTTTTTTTTTATAAACCATATGAAAAAATGCATTATTTTCTAAAAAATGCATAAAATTTTCCATGTAAAATCAACAGCTCCGCAAAGCTCCGGCTCCAGCTCTGGAGCTGCTCCAAAGCCCTGTTCATGATTGACCTCATCTATAAGAACCAAAAAATCTTTTAATGGAAGCATTATATAGACCTTACAAGTACATTTAGAGTTTTTTTTTTTTAAATCTTTAAATTTTGTCTGAACCAAATTTTGTACTTTAAACAACCCTTTCTTCAATTTCTTCAACTTGATATTGTCACCTCTTCATAATACTGAAACATTTTTGGATGAACTTTCAATTAATTATGATTTGTTTTAAGAATAGACGAAAACTTATAAAAAATTATTTCCCCCCTTACACTCTTTAGATCTTGGGGTCTAGAAATGGCGGAAACCTATGGAGTATTTTTGTTCCCAATCTCTAATGCAGTAACTTTTCTTAAAAGTACATCCTCAATCTGTACTAATATAAATATACAATGTTTGAACCTTAAATGTCTGGAATTCATCTCAAGCATACACACACAAAATATTTTTTGCTCATGCATTTGGTAAAAGCTTACAAAATATAAAAGTTCTGTAACTTATTTCATGGATTCATGTTTAAAATTATAGTTAAAGTAAAAATGTCAACTCTTTTTTTTTGAAAATTAAATGAAGGTTTATTTGCATTATTTAAACTATAAACTAAATAAGGTCATTCTAGATCCTAATTGTAAAAAATTCTCTATACAAAAATTTTTGTTTTAAAATCTTTTTTTAAAAAGGCATTTTTTTTAACTTCAAACATTTTATATTTAAAATAGTAGAAAAAGTAGGGCCTCCTTTTACATAGGGCCACCCCACTTTATTTGAAATTTATAAAGTTTTAAATTATGCTTCTCAGTCATATTATTAATTATAAAAATTTTTATTTTTTAGTCCTATTTTGAATCTCAGAGTGTTATGGAAGTTATAATCAGTAAACGTTTTTTGATGGTCTTTCAAAATTTTGCTGCTGGTATCTTATATTTTGTTAAAATCCTAGATGAAAAACTTATATATAAGTTCTTGTATATTATATTGTTTGTTACTTAAGTACGAAATATGATGTTCATTAAGTTTCCTTTCAATGCAAGTTTGTTGATAGATAGCATTTTTCATGAAGCTACTAAGTCTTAAATCTAGGGCCATATAGTTTACCTAGGGTCCTATGTCATTCTTTGATAAAAAAATTGTTTGAATACAAAATAGGTTATTGAATTTCGATTGGTGCATAGAATTTTTGTTTAATTTTTTTGTTGCTGTTGTTTTATTATTACCATTTTATGTGTAGACTTATTTGTCAGTTTTAATCAGAATTGTTAGACTATTTTGTTATTTATTTAAATGTTACATTTAAATAGTAGTAAATAAATTTTAATAAATTTGTGAAAAAAACTCTAATAATTGGTGGCTCTAGGTACAATTTATTAAAAAATAGCTTATTGTACCTAGGGTTGCTAATTTTTAAACCATTCTACTTGATGGACTTTTATAATTCAAGTCAATATACCTACATTAATACAAGGCTATTAGTATAGAGATGTGATCATATCAGTTTCTGCATTTTTAGACAAGCCCAGGGTCTCGAATTTAGGCATTAAAAAAATCTGGCTCTAGGTACACAAATTTCACCTACTAATTGATGATGTTTTTTCAAGAAAATTACTGCAGTTAGAGATTCAAAAAGAAAATACTCCATAAATTTTTGAACTCCATTCCTAGACCCTAAATCTTGTGGGGTGCGATAGTTTTTAAAAAGTTTTTCAATTTATACATAACAATAAAGTTAATAAAAGAGTTATTAATAGAGTTCAAATTTCATCAAAGAACATTTTAGTGTTAAAAAGAGGTGACCATGTAAAGTTTACTACCCTGTTAGTTGGGGAGAGTTTTGTTTAAATTACAAACATTTGGCTCAGACAACATAAAAGATTTTAATAAAACATTTTAATGTACTCATAAAGTCTTTATAATGTTCCATAAAAAGATTTTTTGATCTATATACATAAAGTTGATCGTAAATTTAGCACGGTATGGACATGTGAAAAAAACAATGTTTATTCTGCATAAAAATATATTTTTATTGATATTATTTGAGAAAATACTGATTAAAACTTTTTTATAACTAGTTAAATTTTTTAGCACACCCAACTTGCGATACAAAAAACATTTAAACCTTGCAAAAAAGCAGTATAAAAGTTTTGTAAAGTTTTTTTAATGATATTTTTGTTCAATAAACTGATTTTGCTGTTCGCTTTTTAAAATTTCATATAAAAATGTTAACACCTGTCACTAAGTTTTTTTGTTTTGTTTTTTGTAAATCAATATTAATATTTTTTAGCACAAAATTGACCATATTTCAAAACATGACAAATCAAAAGTGAAAGAATGTAATTTTTTATTTATTAAAACAAAAAATATATGCTTACAAAAAACAACAACAATTTTTGTCGAAAAAAAAATCTAAAAATGCAGCAATAATGAGAATTAAAGCTATGCAATCCCCAGTGGACTCAAGACAAGTTTTTAAACGTCTATAAAATATATTAATTCATTTAAATATTTGTTTTAGACATTTTTAACACATCATGTCCCACAAGGTCTTTATATTTCCTAATGTTTTTAAAAAAAAAAACAGTAACAAAATAACATTTACAACGTTCTTTGAAAAATTTAGAAAATCAATTTTATTTTTAAATAGTAAGAAGGCATATGATTTATAGTATCAGAAGTTGGGTTTAAAAATTATGTTATTTTTTTAAGGTTACAAACTGTAAAAAAACTTAATAAAATTCAAGTGAGACAACTTCAAAACTCAATGGCTATAATGTGTAAGTTAAAAGGTTTTTTTTATTTTTTATTTTTTATAAATTTTATGTACTTTCTTTTATGTGTAGTGTGCAACAATATCAAGTTTTTTTCAAATAAGAATATTTTTTCTAAATTCAATTTTTTATCTTTAAAAAATTATTCACTTAACTAAACAATTGTGTTTATTTAATTTATACATCTGTCATGTGCTAAATGTTTTTATACTTTTTTTGTTTATGTAAGTGAAATAAAATCAACCTAAAAAACATTAAAGTTATTAACATTAAATTAAGAGTTAATAAATTTTTGTGTTTAAAAAAAAGATTGTATTTTGTACAAGCTTTATTTCATCAGTGTAAACTGAATTTTTCAAGTAACTGAACTACATAAGTGAGGGCGGGAGTGGGTGATTTTGCACTCTTCCTGCCAAGGCCTGTATCTGTGCAATATGTAAAATTGTAATTTTACATATTGCACAGATACAGGCCTTGTTATACTGTAATTTTATTATGATATTCTACATTAATGCACATTGGTGTATAACATAAAAGTAAAGATAATTAACACCTATCTGATACAAGAACCGCAAGTTATATATACTAACATGGTCAGGAATTAATCTAAATTTATAATATTGTAAATCATTTACAGTCGAAAAAAAATTTTAATATAGTTTTTTTTTTAATATAGTTTTAATACAGTACTATATTCAAAATTGTATATTATTAAAAAATACGTACACAGATATATATGTAATTATTTATAATAAAGGTTTATAATAAATTAATGCTAACAAGCTAGGTTTTGGTTTGTAATACTGTTGTTATTTTTGTATATGTTCTTACTTCAACTCCTTCAATCTGTTGTCGCTTTCGTAAAGATAAAATAAATATGACATAGAGAACAGGGCAAAATGAGTTGAGTGTGATACTATCAGAGACATGGTGGGAATCTTCTTCGAAACTTCTCACTTATGAGGTGAGCGCTCTACCGCTACCGCATATGTAAAACTAAAACAAATACCTTACTTTACTAATAACCATATAAGAATTTTTTGAATAATAAATAATTATTAATATATTATATATATATATATATATATATATATATATATATATATATATATATATAATTCCTCATTAATAAATAAAAGTTTTGTTTTTTCATTAACTTTCAATATCATTTTCTAAGAACTTTAATGCAACAAGGAAATAAAATTTTAATTAAAGGGATCGTCTATAAATTATGCAGCGCATAGCATATTTTTAAAACAGATGTAAGAGATATTAAGTTCTTTTACTCGGCAGTTTTCATTAAACTTAATGGGCTATTTCGATTCTTTGTTTGAATTAAGACTCCGCGAGGGAAAACTTTTGATCTTCTTTTGTTTTGTTTATTGTGAAAGTTTGCGTTACGTACTTTATGAGAGATCCCAAAACTAAGTTATAAAAAAAAAGAAACACAAACAACCTTCTCTGATGGTTGAAAAGTTACATAATTTTCACATGCATTGATACCTATCATAAACAAAACTAGTAAAAAGATTTCATAAAATCTATTCAACTTTTTCTTTATGGCTTAAGGTGAGTTAATGATAAGTCAAAACAAGAATAAATATGCATATCAAAATAAATTTTCAATCATCAAATCAATGCATTTTTTCAGGAATAAAACCTTTGTGAGCTGTTATTTATATAAGTCACCATTGGCGGTTTCATTATAGGAAGATTGCATTGAATATATTCGCTTATATTCACACTGCATTATATGGCACTTTGTAAAGCATATTTAAAGTGGTATAAATTGGGGGTAAAAAATATATATTTAAAAGTAGTATTTTTATGTTTTGATTGCACATTTTTAACTCATGCCAATGAATAGGAAAAGGCTGATACCGATGCCGATACTGATACCAATGGATTAACTAAATATTAAAATTTTTGAAAATATAAAACCATGTAAATCATGTAAACTTTTTTATAGAATATGAACTGGTAAACAATTAGACTCAAGTCAGAGCTAAATTTTATTTAGAGTTATTTTTATTAAATAACTTATTTTAAAAGCTCAATTAAATTAATATACATTTTTTAGTTTTTTTATCGATGAAAACTTTCAAAAAATAAATACAATTTATAAGGAATGCTTTTTATTTCAATTTTAAAAAGAAAATGGTATTAAGATAAGCAGTTTACTTAAAATTTTAAACTCTTCAAAGGAAAAAAAAAAACCTTTATAAATATATATTTTCTCAAAATAAAATAAAATGAGACTTCAAAATAAAATACTAAAGTAATAATAATTTTGAGATTCTAAAGAAAGCACTAATAGCAGTTTTAACAATGTTTACTATTTAAAATTCTGTATACAAATATTGAAATGTTTTATAAGTATTTAAAAATTGTGTATACAAATATTGAAATGTAAAAACATAAGTATTTCTCCTGTTTGCAGAGCCAACCTGTTTTATCGTGAAGAATAAACTTGTCCTCCACAACTAAACAACCGTTCACTTTCAACAGAAGATGGAGGGTATGATAAATACATCTGAGCTGTTAGAACTAATTGCTTGATATTATTTCTATTTGCTCCTCATCATACTATAGGACTATCTTGTTGCATGATAATGTTTTATATAAATATATGTCTTATATGAATATAATATAATGTATTTATATAATATTAATCTTATATACATCTTGTATTTATATAAGATTTATATTATATAAATACAAGATATTGATGTGTTTTCGAAAGTGTTTTTTTATTTTTAACCAAATTTTCAAAGCATTTTGAAAAATCAAAAACTAAATTTATTGTACTTGATGACTAACTGACAACCCATTTAATAATATTTTCAAAAAAACTCAGCTTTAGAAAAGTTTAGAAAAAAAAAAATTAAAAAAAAAAAAAAAAAACTCAGTTTAGAAAAAAAAAATTCTATACCTTGGATCTAAAAATGTGGCTAAAATAAGATTTTCATCATTGAGATATTTTTCAAATCTTTCAATCACTGATTTTTTACATTCTTTTTAAGTTGTCCCAAATCTTAAAAACAATGGAGAGTTTTCAGCTTTAACCATTATGGTTTTTATAACTTGTACAGTTGGAATTATAGCAGATGCAATTGCTTCTCGGTCACTTAATAAATTTGTCATATCATTAAACGTTTTTTAAAATCGAAGCAACTTTTCTTAAATAAACCATTCATTGTTCTCCTTTAGTTTAGAATTGTCATAATCACAACAAAATGGGATCAAAGCACATTTCTGTTCCAAAAATTCTTTCAAAAAAAATATATTGATTATTCCAACATGTTGTAATGTCTTGTTTATAATGAGTTTGATATTTTTGATAAGCTTCAAAAGAAGGTGGAGAATGATTAAAATGGGTTACTATATTTTTACAAGTTGATATATTTTTAATATATATATGGGCAAATACAGTGTCGTTTAACACAAGTTTCAAAGTGTGTAATAAACACTGCCAACTGCTGTAACCTGGCTCTCTTATTCCAGCTACCAAATATGCTGCATTATCTCTAGCAACTAAATGTAACTTTGAAGTTGGATAAAGAAAGTCATTCGTAGAACTTTAAATTGCTTCTTATTTATTTTTAAAAGTATGCGATACATTAAGTTGACAAACTTGAAGAATTATCGATTATTGATGAAATTCATTAGTTAACCAATGACCTGTCAAGCTAAGAAATAACTATTTTCCGTTGGTAGATTCTCGTCCATCAGTTGTAAATGAAATGTATGAAACATTTATTTCTTTTTAGATATTTTGTCTGACTTAGTTGTATATATTTTGTAAAACAGAATATTGTCTGTATTTTCTACTTGGAATGCATTAGTTAGGACATAGATGATTTAGCAATCTTTGAAATCCACTGCCTTCTACTATAAAAAAAGTTAAATATTAACTGCAATCATTTCTGCAATATAGTTATTAATTAATTGAGACCTGTGATCATTAATGCCCCAGGACCTTTTTCTCTCAATTTTTGTCAAACAATTTGTTGGGGTTGTTTTAAGCAACTTGTTTCAGTTGACTTGATTTTCTTGAACACATTTTGTTTATTTTCTGCTCTCCTTTTGTTTTCTTCTTTATTAAGTTTCAACTCCTTGCTTGCTATTTCTTTATATTTTGTATTAATAATATTAATACAAAACATAACACAACACAACAAATATGTTAGGTTATATTTAACACAACAAATATGTTACATCAAATTAATTTAATATGATGTAACATATTAGTTGTGTTAAAAGACTTACCTTTTGTAATCTTCAGCTTGCACATGCTACATATTGCAATTGAGGCATCTTCAGGAGAAATACTAAAATATTTCCACCCCCAACTACATGATTTCATAGGAATTCTTTTTCCAAACAAAGCTGCTGCCATTCTGAATAAATATTTGGTTCTGCAAATTTATTAACTTATTAGTAATTTAGATTTTTAAATAAAAATCGTATAGAAATATAGAAGACAGTACTTGAATACATGTATATAACAATGCTTAAATAGGTTATTTAGTGCTTAAATAGGTTACAGTACAACACAAAATTATTCTAAAAACAACATAGTAATAAAAGTATAAATACATTCAGCTGTTAAATTAAAACTTATAAACATCATTTTAACAATGACCAAATTTGCCTGTAAACAAAATCAATATAAACAATTTCTCAAAAAACTCTAAATAATGCATAAATTTAGATTATTTATTTAATTATTATCATAATGCAGGAAAAGAATATTAAAATTCCATCGGTTGGAAAATCGGTAAATTAATAAAAAAGAGGCCTATTCCGATTGTGCAAAAAGTGGCCGATTAAGCCGATGCCGATTAATCGGAACATCACTAGTGTGTGTGTGTGTGTTTATTTATTTATTTATTTATTTATATATATATATATATATATATATATATATATATATATATATATATATATATATATATATATATATATATATTAATTTAATTTTCAACTTACACCTACTCATGCATCAAACTATTTAACCCCATTTAAGATGGTACAACACCAAATATTTTTTGAAAATTGAAAAAAAAAAAGTGAGTTTTTGATATTTCGCTCATTTGATAGGGAATTTATTGTAGCTTAATAATATAAAAAGATTCCCAACATTTTTTAATTTCTTGATAAATTAACTAACTAAAAGAAATATATATATATATATGTGTGTGTGTGTCATCGCAAGTGTATATATGTGTGTGTGTGTTTATTCATGATGTACCGATGGCAAATTCCGATATGGCTAATAATAGATTTAATGTATTTATTTAAGGGTATTATAATATTAAGGATAAATCGGCATTGGCCGATTAATCATGTGTGTATGTATGTGTTCGTATATATATATATATATATATATATATATATTTTTTTTTTTTTTTTTTTTTTTTTTTTTTTTTTTTTTTTGGTGTGTCATCAATATGTATATTAAAGTAATATTAGGTATACAATTTGCATATGTGTGCCTATGCACCAGTTTGGTTTGGCTTATTAGCAAATGCCGATTAATCAACCGATGCCGCCGGCCGATTAATCGGCCAATGGTTAAGCTGATTAATTGGTTGCTGTTTAGGGATCGTCCATAAGTTACGCAATGCATAGTATATTTTAAAAACAGAGTTATGAGATATTAAGCTTTTTTACGCGGCGATTTTCATTAAACTTAATGAGCTATTTTGATTTTTTGTTTAAATTAAGACTCGGCGAGGGAAAACTTTTGGTCTTTTTTGTTTTGTTTATTGTGAAAGTTTGCGTTACATAGTTTATGGACGATCCCTTACCAATAGGCTAGTAGGTCGAATCACTTTTGATGAATAGGTACATGTTAAATATCTAATTTAAATCCTTAGCACTATTATAATACCCTTAAATAAAATTAATCTGTTATTAGCCACAATCGGCATTTGCCATTGGCACTTCTTTAATATATATATATATATATATATATATATATATATATATATATATATATATATATATATATATATATATATATATATATATATATATATATATATATATATATATATAATATTAGGGTGGTTTTTTTAAAAAAGAGCACATTTAAACCTCCCATTCTTATTCATCAACTAAAACAAAAATTGGAGGCGAATTGAATCATTTTTAAGGTTGCACAATATCCTTAAACATCTTATGTAAATTTAAAAAAATGTTCTAAAGGACATCACGTTGGGTCTTAAAATAAGCGAATTAATCATAGAGATTGTTGGTTTAAATTTTTATAGTCAAAAGGCTTAAGCAAAAAAAAATTGTTTTCAATAAAAAATAAAAATATGTAATCGCAATGCGTAAAAGTAATATTTTAAATGTATTTTTATTTACGTGTATTTTAGTAAAAATAATTTCGTCAATAATTTTTAAATGCAATTTAAAGTTTACTGTTGTAATAAGTTTGTATATTGATTAAGATAAGTTTGTATATTGTATAAGATTTTAACGTTATGTATTCAATATGGGATCGTCCGTAAATTACGTAACGCAAAATTTCGCAATAAACAAAATCAAAAGTTTTCCTTCGTAGAGTTTTAATTTAAATAAATAATCAAAATAGGAAATTAAGTTAAATGAAAATTGCCGCGTAAAAGAGCTTAGTATCTTCTACTTCTGTTCTTAAAATATTTTTTGCGTTGCGTAATTTATGGACGATCCCTGTAATGTTACATCAAAACTGTATTTTGAGTTAAAAAATTAACACTCAACTGACAACATTTTGAAAACTGCAAAAAAAATTATCCATTAGGCCGGGTAAATAAAAAAAAACTTTTACTCAGCGTTTTTTTTTTGTGTAATTAGTCCGGATAAATAAAAATGACCAATTGCTTTTACTCAGTAAATGGCCAGCTTTACATGAATAAAAACTTCAGCAGTTTTTTTTAAAATTATTGACGTAAAGTTAAGCAATTTACTCAGTAATTGATCAGCTTTAAGTGAATAAAATCTTTAGCAAAATTGTTAAAGTTATAGTTCACGTATAGCTGACAAATTACTGAGTAAAAGCAATTGCTCATTTTTATTCACCCGGCCTATTGCTCAGCTTTACTTAAATTGAAATTTGAAAAAAATCGCTTAAATTTTTATTCACGTAAAGCTAAGCAATTTACTCCAAAAACGCTCAGTTTTACGTGAATAAAAATTTGAGCAAAGTTGCTCAAAATTTTGTTTATGTAAGGCTGAGCAATTACTCTAAAAATGAGCCTATTGTTAACAGTTTTTAAGGTATTCAATGTAGTTTATTTTATCCCGTTAATTTTGTTGTTTTTGGTAAGAATTACTCGGTTAAATTGACGGAAAATTTTTCAGAGTGTATATATAGAATAACGATTTAATAATATTATTACTTTGTTAGTTTGTAATATGGGTACTAATAGGTAATATTAATTTTAAATATCTCAAATATACATATCTTTCGTATCAACATAAACTTACAAACCTTTTGTGTTTTAGGCTTAAGTTCAAAGGTTAATTTATGTATGAATCTTCTTGCAAGTACAGATAGTGATCTTGTTGAAGTGGGTGAAGATTCTGACGATGTTTGTTCTCAATCGGGCCATAAAAAGAAAGCAAGGGGACTCAAGATTCTGTAAAACTTTCAATCTGATTTATTTTTGATGTTAATAATTCAATATTTTTTATGAGTAAAAAAACTTGGTTGAAGATTTTTTTTATTAAAAAAAACGAAATAAATTAGCTAGTATTAATGAAAAATTTTTATCTAATGCTTACACTTGTTTCTGCATAAATGTTTTTTTGTGTTTTTAAATTGAAGTGCTAAATGATTTTATCTTAAGTCAATGGTATGCAACTGCAAAATTAGTCAATAGAATTTTTTCATAATATACTGTGCTATCGTGTCATATAAATTATCTTTTGTTAAAAAGCTGGGTAAAGAATTTAATTTTCAACTTACACCTACCCATGCATCAAACTATTTACACCCATTTAAGGTGGTGCAACACCAAATATTTTTTGAAAATTGAAAAATAAAAGTGAATTTCGCTCATTTGATAGGCATTTTATTGTAGCTTAATAATATAAAAAGATTCCCAGCATCTTTTAATTTCTTGATAAATTAACTAAAATAAATATATATAGGAATGACAAGAATATTTAATCTTCTTTTGCGTTTTTCTCCGTTTTCAAATTTTGCGAAACTCTGATTATAAACATGATTTCTTGAGAAGTGAAAATCACTTCAAATTTTCAGAAAATGTTTATTATACTATATTATAGAAAATGACCTTTCAAAATTTGAAAATTCTGTTCCAATCTTTTTTTCTTTTAATTTTAAGGTCTAAATAAGTTTTTTTTTTTTTTACTTGATGTAAAAAAATTTATTTTTATTTTTTATGTACTTTGAAAATTTTAAAATGCATATGTCAATACCTTACCTTAGATGTCTAGAACATATGTAAAAAATTTCATGGATGTTTTGTTAATATATTTATAAATATAAAATAATATATATTTACTAAATAATCATTTTTGAATGGACCCCATAAAATAAATGTTTTTTGATAAATTTGAGGCAAAGTAAAATCAAGTATGAAATAGCATTTCAAGTCAATGTTATTTTTATTGATATAAAATTTATCTCTTATATTTTGAAGTTTGAACATTTTAGAATATTTGGTCGTGCACCACTTTAATAATGCTTAGTTAGAAAAGTACCGCTAAATATTGGAGCAAATTTGCGTATAAAAAAGTAGTTGAATAGTTTTTTTCATGTGAAAATATACTCATAGCTCAAATACTAATATTATGATATTTTTACATAGCTCAAAAACTAATATTACTAGTTGAAAACAATGCTTGAAACCTACTTTGATGCGATTTTGAAATATGGTTTGTTTCTTGGTGGCATATTTCAAATGATTTGTATATGTTCAGTTTTATTTGTATCCGTGGATCAGTTGCAGTTGCTTTCTTTAGAAAAAGATGATAATGATATAAATACTGTTAACCATAAGAGTTTTAAAAATAAACTAAAAGTTAAAAAGAAAAAGTAGTTATTGTTTCCGACAAGATAATTTGGATTTTTTTGAAATTATTTTTATTTACTTGTGTTGTGAGTTTTTAGTGCTCTTAAATTTTGTAATATAGCTATTTATGTGTTTTATATATATTTACTATTTTTAAAAAGTTCTTTACAATTTTTAAAAAGTTCTAAAGGTTGTCTGTTAAGTAAACTATTTACTTTAATTTATTAAATTAATTACAGATGGGTTTTGAAATCTTGGGGCTATTTTACTAACTAAAATTAGTCCCAAGATTTTCAAATCTATCCGTATTTAACAATAAAAAATAATTATTAATTTTACCAATATAAACTTTGTTTAAATAATAATGATCTCAAAATCAGTATTTACATAGTTTACAAAATAATATACAAAATAAGTTTTACATAGTTTTATTTGTTATCTATTTTAAATATAATGACCAACTTTCATATTTAATACGATTTAAATTTATAGCTATAAAATGTATTTTTTACCGAAAGTAGTATCGTCATAACTTGTTAATAAAATTTCTAGCACCAAATCTTTATTTAATAATATTTTAGTATATACAGATGATTGCATTTGTTTTAATGAGTTATCTTCTGAATTGTTTAGTAATGGGTTTAAAAAAAGCTACAAATCTCTTCTTTTTTTTTAAACAAACAAAGGCCGATAAATTTTATAGTGACTACTAACTCAGGTCAGAAATTGACCTTTTAGGTTTGATTTTGGAAGACTCCGAATACTTTTACAGATTCAATTTAAGGTGGTAGACCACTAATTAAATCAAATCCTTCAAAAATTACATTTTAGATATTTACAGTTAAATTGACTAAAATTTACTCTTGAATGACATAATGAAAAGAAAAAAAGTCAAACATTTTTTTAATTTTAGAAATTTGGTCCCAGAAACTCAAAAATATCATCATTTCGTTGCGGTGATTATCTCAAAAACTATTGAAGCTATTAACTTGAAATTTTCTAGATTTACTTTTAATACAATAAAGAAGATCCTGTACCAAAATCAAGAAAATTTACTGAACAGATTTTTTTTTTATAAGAAAAACACTTGACGAAAAGAAAATAAGGTATTTTTGACCGTATTTGGGTTTTAATATCTTTGAATTGGATTATCGTATTTTCATAAATGTGGTTGGGGACATCCATAACAACAAAAGGAACAACTGAAAATTTCATGGAAAATGATTTAGAAAATCTTAAGATATTCACCGCAAAGTCGTGAATTTTAGAGATCTGAGAAAAACACATTTAAACAAAAAAAATTTTCAAACAAATAATAAAAAGTCTATTGAGAGATATCAACATATATAAAAAGTGTTGTGAAGTAAAAGTAGAGAAAATTATTAAAAAATTGTTTTAAAAGACAGGTTTTATTAACAGGCATTAATACTTTCAAAGTTTTATTTAAAAAAAGTCTTACTTTTGATTTGTAATTTAGTTTCAAATAAAAACTCCTATCAGTTTTATGCCAATAGTTATTACTAGTAAATAAATATTAAGTATATATATAAACTAAATATATAAAAAGATAAAAATATATATATATAATTTAAAACTATGATGCACCATAAGAAATATCCTCATTAACTACTGTATTCTTATTATAGCTTTATTTTCAGAATATAAACTTATTTTCTGAGCTTCTTCGCTGCGGCTTTCATGCTAGCTTCAGCTATGTAACTGTTATAATTTCTTTGTTTACTAGTTAAAAAATTTCTTTATGGGATCAAACATGTTCATAAAACCACAAAATTTTTCAAAACTACAGTATTCTTTAGACATTTCTCAAAAAACTAATATTGTACATAAACATTAAAAATTCATTGCTGCTGGTTTGTTTATAATTTTGATATAATAAAACTTCTGAATAAAATTAGGAGTTTTATAAGCCATATTGTTTGAAGCATCATAAAATTTTATAATTTAAAAGTTACATTATAGGAAGTTTTTGATAGCAAACAATGGCAGCCATCATGTTGGTGTTCATAAATATATAGCAGTCATTTGTAACATTGAACTGATCAAAAATTAGCAGAACTATTATTTTTATTTACAAAACTAATATTTAAAAGTTTTACAGATTATTTACTGCTGGATCTGGATCTAGACATGTCCATTTAAAAAATTTTTTGCTATGCTACATTTAAATTTTAGTTCATCCAAATTAGATACAATTACTTCAGCTGCATTGTTTGTTGATTGATTTTGGTTTTCTTTAAAAAGTTTAAATAAGTATTTTACTATGCCTTGTTTTACTTCTTTTTTCTTTTTTTTTTTTTATTACTTTCTATTACTAATATTATTTAATCGAAGTGATAGGATAAATGTAGAGTGATACAGAAAACAGTAAGTATAGTTGGAAATTTCAATAAAACTCATGTAGCTAGTTGCACCAAAAGTATTAATCAATAAACAAAAAGTAGTTTTGGAGTTGCAATCACCACATCTGGTATTTTATATTAAAAATATATACTATAATTATGATGGAATTTCCTTTTTAGTTGTATAGCAACGGAATAAACAAAGCGTTGTTATGGATAAATAAAAAAAAATACTTATACCGCTTTATTAAAAAATAGTTTTTAATGGTGTTAGCTATTTTTTTTTTCATTAAACCAACTTGAAATTTGTAATTTACGATAGCTATATTAATTGAAAAAGTTATAATTATAAAAATGATTTTTTTGATTTTTAATAGTGGTCTACCACCTTAAGAAACCTTTAGGTTACAGAAAACTGTAAAAATAAAAACCCTGTGGGCGGCACATTTTTAGAAAAAAACTTTTAAAGATCATATGAAATTCTCATGTTGAAGCGAAGAAACTTCCAGCAAACCTTAAATTTTTACATACTAATGCTAATATGTATAATAATGCTATAATGATGTTCTGACAAACAAAAAAAGTTTGGGCACTGACCCCATAAAGGATAAATAAAAATTTTTTTAAATATTTTAGTACAATCTTACAGTAAATGAAATTTTATTCATAGAATTCAAATTATAAATAAATAAATTATAGTTCAAAATATATGACCAAAAAACTCCTTCCAAAAAAAATGAGGATAGCACAACTTCAAAACGTGAAAGTTAACTTTGTAAGATAATATTGTCGAACGATAAGATATTTTAATAGTTAAAATGCTTTTAAAATGCTTTTTGCAAGTCGAACTATCTCTCAACTTCAACAAAAGTATCAATTTAGTAATTCCCAAAGAATGCAGAAAAAAAAATGTACTGATGTTTTCTAATAAAAAAAAAAAGTTTATATCTACAAACAAAAATGGACAAACTTGGTGTTCCATTATTTATTTTAAAATTCTCGACGATTATTTATTTGTAGCTTACCATAATGGCACAACTTGTAATGTTTCATTTTTAACTGTAAACAAATAAAATTTATAAAAATAAAATCAACTTTATTTAAAACAGTTAGATTTTTAAAGAAAACAGAAAGTTTGTATTAGTCAAATATTCTAATTAAGCACCTTAATGCTTATAATGAAAGTTAATGTAGTTCGATGTAGTTATGGACATTTTTGTAAAATACGCGATTTTCTAAAGCTTTTAAAAAACGAAAAGTTAAGCTTTTATTTTGCCAAGTTCCAAATAAAATACTTTGAATTTTTCAACTAATCCGAATATATTAGCTCCTCTTAAATTATATTGCGCTAGTAAAAAGTTAAGTAAACTTGAAATTTTTGAATATTTTAAGTTAAACGAGATGTTGTTAAAAACGCTCGTATTTGTCTATTTCGCACAACGGGGAAAAAGTTTTACCTTGTCATACTTTCCAATATTCTTATTTGTAACTTATTTTATACCTAAGAAAAGCATGGCATGTTAGAAAGTTATTTATTATAAAAATATTTTGACTTTTATGATTGTTTTCTGCTGTTATATATGAATAACTCGGTTGTAAATCAACTTTGAACAGTTTATTTGAAACATGATTACATTACACTCACTACAATTCGATAGTATAATTTTAATTCTACAATTTAATGAAAAAAGCAAAATGATTCATTCCAAACCAAGCGAGCGAAAAGTATTCTTAATAAGGGACTTTTCAAAGAAAACATTTGAGTCAAGTCTGCAAACTAAAATCTAACCATCAAATATATATATATATAGATATATATATATATATATATATATATATATATATATATATATATATATATATATATATATATATATATATATATATATATATGTATGTATGTATATGTATATATATATATATATATATATATAATCTTTGAAAGTATATATATATATATATATATATATATATATATATATATATATATATATATATATATATATATATATATATATATATATACATATATACATATAATCTTTGAAAGTCATTTTGTAGTTATACGTTAAAATATGAGTAGAATTCAATAAATGCGAGTGCGTATAAACTTTTTTTTAATATATATATAAATTATTAGTGGAAATAAAGAATAAAGTTAAACTCAAATTAAAAGATAAATATTGTTTTTAAAATAATCACCTTCAAATCATAATTAAGTCAATAATCTTATAAATTAATTTAAAACAAACAATTTAATGCAAAGATTTTACAAAAAGATAAACAGAATTTCGAACTAAAAAAAAAGAAAAAGAAAAGAACAATTCCGTAAAACAATAAAAGAACAAAAAAAGAAAGAAAAAAAAAAAGAAAGAAAGAAGTTAAGCAATTAAAAGAAACAAAAGAAGAAAAGAAGAAGGAAAAGTAAATAAAATTACAAACAAAGAATAAGAAGATTGGTTGTTTTACCCAGTAAACATTTGGACGTCCACTAGACGTACATTGGACGTCCGTTTCGGACGTCTGTTTTGGACGTCCTTAGATGTCTAAACTAAGTCCAAATGCAACATGTTTCGTCCGTCCATTTTGGACCATAATGGACGTCTGTTTTAGACTTAAATTAGATAAATATTTTAGGTCTACAGACGTTTACAATACGTCCATATTAAAGAAAAAGAAACGTTAACGCCCTTAAAAACCCTTACAATGGACACTGGGACACGTTTTTTAGCAATAAATAAGTATAATTTGTATAAGGGAAAAAGAATGTTTTTGACAAAAAAGAAGATACAAGTAAACAGAATTCAATTTATTGATAGATCATATTTTACAAAAAAGGCATAAATTTTACAATATAAATTTTTCTTATAGTACGATACTCATGTTAAATAGTTGCAATTTTTTGGGCGATTTCGAGGTTGCACGTTTCATCAGATCGCCATCTAGTCCTTCAATATTGCGCGCTTCCAAACCACCTTTGTCATATATAACTGCATCTAAAAGGAAAGTCAAAATTACCTTAAATAATGTATATATATATATATATATATATATATATATATATATATATATATATATATATATATATATATATATATATACATATTTTTTTCGTGGTACCTTTCTCGACTCTTTAACTCCGAAACACGAGCCTTGAGCCGCTGTGCGGAGAAACTAAGTTGATCGCGGTACTTCCAGGGACGTGGTAGGAGTTGAGCTCCAAACCTCTCGCTTACAAAGCGAGCGCTCTTCCCACTACACCAATACTGCATTGCATATGAGTTGAAATAGAAAAATACTTTTATTGTCAGTATGAATGAATTTATTAGGCCATAAATTAAAAAAAGATTATATAATAACTAATAAAAATACTTTTTGCAGGATAACTTTAAAGTGCACTTACGTTTATTCAACATTTTATTAAATAAGGACCTACTTTTTAAGGCTTCTTATCCAGTTTAGAACTAGTTGCTTTATCAGTTTTGAGACGACATAGAATGTGTGGAGTTAAAATTAACCACTATACTAACCACTTGCTGACTGTTTTAAATAATTTTTTTTTTCTAAACGACAAAATTATTATGTTACAGAGAAAGTACATTAATATAATCTGGGAAACATTTACAAAAAATTTGACATAATTATATTACAAATCTTTATCTTGTTAAAAAATGAAGAATCTGGTTACAAGTTTCTAATGTGTCAGAATCCAGCATATTCAACAAAGTCAATTTCTTTCAATCATTGTCTTATAACAACTCATACTGAAATATACACACTATATCTCACACCATTTTAAGGGAAATATGAAACACAACTGTTTGACCAACTGGGTTGACCCAACAAAATGGTACTATTTTTTTGTGTTAGTTGATTTTTTTAGATATATTATATGTATAATATATCTAAAAAAAATATTTGTATTGTTTACAATATAAATTATATTGTAAACAATATAATTTATATTGTTGTTTAATAACAATAGCTGCATACTCTAAACAAAAGCAGTAGATATATATATATATTTATATACAAACATCGAATTCTTAAGTCAATGATTACTAAACACAATTTATAATTGAATAATATAATATTTATAATTGAATAATATATAATATTTATATATATAATATATAATATTTATATATATAATATATAATATTTATATATATATATAAATAATATATAATATATTATATTTATATATATATATATATAATATTTAATATATAATATTATATAATATTTAATATTTATAATATATAATATTTATATATATATATATAATAATATATAATATTTATAATTGAATAATATAATATAATAAATATTTAAACAATCACAAATTGAATAAACTTGCTATGAATAAAGATACTATTTTGACATTTCAGTATTGTTCTGGGTTTAAAATTGCTATAATATATTTATAGTAATTTTAAACTGAGTTTATGCATAGTATATTAACCCTTTACTTTAGTAAGTTACTATTTGTAACCCGTTTAACTATTTATAACCCGTTACTAAGTAACGAGTTACTAAACAAGTATTTCGGAAAAAATGAGTAGTTAAGGAGAGGTTTAAAGAAACGGAAACATTTAGCCAAAAAAATAAAAATAGATTCCATTTACTGTTAAAGCTTCTTTTACAATAAGTAATAAAAAAACTAAGTTTCTTCTGTTACAATACTTAATGAAGAATCGTGACAACTTTCTTCTTTTTGCAACTTTGGTACAGCCCGTTTTAACAAATCACCAACAAGTCTTTCAATATCGCTCCCTTCAAAACCACCTTTGTCAGATATAAGTGCAGCTAAAACAAAAATTACATCAAATTTGTAATAATGTATGTATGTATGTATGTATGTATGTATGTATGTATGTATATATATATATATATGTGTGTGTGTGTGTGTGTGTGTGTGTGTGTACATATGTATATATATATATATATATATATATATATATATATATATATATATATATATATATATATATATATATATATATATATATATACATATATATATATATATATATATATATATATATATATATATATATATATATACATATATATATATACATATATATATATATATATATATATATATATATATATACATATATATATATATATATATATATATATATATATATATATATATATATATATATATATATATATATATATATATATATATATATATATAATATATATATATATATATATATATATATATATATATATATGTACATATGTACACACATATCTACTATAGCATATTTATATGCGCAATTGCTCACTTTTTTTGCTAGCCTAATTTAAGTGAGCGTTTTTAGAAAACGATGAGGAAAAACGAAAAATAATGAATGAAAAGGTTGCTGACCCATACCAAACCCTCAGTCGATGTAGCAGCACTCCACTGCGAGTCAGGCTATTTGTCAGTCAATGTATGTACTGAAGCCCCCGACAACAGGCTATTTGACACTAGGTGAATATGACATCATCATGCTCACCTAACTCAGCAGTATAAGATATATGTGTACATATGTACACACACACACACACACACATATATATATATATATATATATATATATATATATATATATATATATATATATATATATATATATATATATATATATATATATATATATATATATATATATATATATATATATATATATATATATATATATATATATATATATATATATATATATATATATATATATATATATATATATATATATACATACATATGTACACACACAAACACACACACATATATATATATATATATATTTAAATAAATATATATAAATAACATTTGTAGAATATTTTTAATTAATGCTTAAAAATTAAGGGTGAAATGGGACAAAAACTTACTTTTTAAACATTTATAAAGTGCTGTACTTAGAAATTTCCGCTTTCCTTTCAACCCATCTTTGCTGAAACAATTTTGCACGCTGCGCTCTAATACACAATCTAGCACATTCTTAATAGTTCTCCGCGGAGTTGGTCCACCCACACTTCTAATCTGACGAATCTATACACAAAAGTAAAATATAAACAATTATATAAAAGTTCTTTATCTTAAATGTATTTTATTCCTCCATAATAATTGAATAGAAATGGTATCTTCAACCGATTCAAAGAGTTTTTTTTTTGTGTAATATTTACCACACTTGTGTGGTTTGGATAGTTCTTCATAATGACATCTAAATGCCATTATGAAAGAGTTGAAGCAATATTTTTTAACCGGATGCCCTTCCTGACATTAACATGAAGCAAATTGCACTTGATTACATGTCACCAGTAGCAGGATAACCTTACTTAACGTAAGGATAACCTGAGATTACAACCAGAAAAACAAACTATCCATTATGACACAAGTTACAAAGGTGCCTAAAGAAAACGCTATTTAGCAAAAATTATTTAAAAACAAAAAACAGTAATTTAAGGATCTATTAAAAGGAAATTAAAATATACCTTCTGCAACCTTGCTACTTTACTTGAGTTTAACGTATTTTCCTGTTCATCAAACTTCTCCAACGAGTCAATAGGCTTCATAATTACATCTGCTTCAATTGTGTCATTTGATACTCCCATTACACTAACAAAATTGCTTTCTAATAAATCTAAGCGGTCAATAATCTTTTTTTGATTTTGCTTGATCAGCGTAAATTCATTTGTCAACTCTTTAAAAATTGCATACTGAAATTCTAATAATCATTTAATTATTGCATATTATTTTTGAAAACTTTAACTTTTCTCATATACTAAATCAAAAATGTTATAATGGAATATGTTTTTAAAGGTACGTGTTTTATTTTTAATGTAATAAAACAAGCACACAAAAAATAGTAGGTACACAATTTTAGATTGTAAGTCTTTTATTGTCAGAATGAACAGGGTATTAAAACGAGCAATAAATATGTAACATAAAAAGAATGTGTTACAACTAAAAAAAAAGACTTATTGGTAACCTTTAACTTACGTTTATTTGAAATTTCTTTAAATGAGGAACCGCCATCACCCACTTTTGAAGGCTTCTCAAACAAATTTGTGGTTTTACAAGAATGATCTTGTTTGAACAATGATGCAATATTTAATTTCGAAGACGTTGCAGGCGTTTCCAAAATATCACTAGGTGTAAAACATTGAGAAGACGATGTAGGACTGGACGCGAAATCTATCACTGGACTTGCAGCTCTTTTATTCATTTTAATTTTTTGTATTGCTAAATAACAAATAATTCATGTTTAAAAAAATGTACATTTATATGTTCTGGAAAACATTTATAAAATGATTACATAAATTTTCAGCCTCATCTTCAGTTTGAAAATGTAACATCTGGTTACATGTTTCTAATGTTCCAGAATCTAATATGTACTCAACAAACTCAAATTCCTGCCATCCTGGTTCTGGTACAGCCCATTCTGCAATATACATACCAACTGCCTTGTACCCTTTTGGGGGAAAATAAACAACAGAACTATCCGAGTCAACCCAGTGAGCTGGAACTACTGTTTTGGTTGGTTGGTTTTTTTCAATAATCACAACAGTGCTGTAAAGTCTAAAGAAAAATATTTATTAAAATTTTATATTTATTAAATTTTTTTTTTAGAATTAGTATGTTAGTTTTCTACCACAGCTTAAAACACAATTTTAAAACAATATAAAAAATTTTTAAACAATTAGTTTTATAAAAATATGCAACTCAGAACAATAATGAAATGTCAAAACAGCATCGCACTCCAAATTTATGTATTTTTACTTAGGGTTAGTGATTTAACAAACTGTTAGAGCTGGAAAATTAGCTCCGAAAACTATAACTTAGGAACTGAGATATTAAATCAGCTATGAACACAAATAAACAATTTTATTATCATTTAAAATTTGCACTATTTAATAAAGGGATAATAACTCGATCATCTTCATGCATCAAACAAACACATTTTCTTAATACAATGTCTACATCATCTATTTTCTCTAAAGGATGTTTATCTTTTTTTATGACGAATATGTTTAGTTTATTAGAATCAATAAAATCTATGAAAAAATTATCTAGCTCAGTCTTTTTAAAGGCATTGTAAACCAATCTACCATTAGGTAAAATTTCTTTTATAAAGCAGACATAATTTTTGCTAAGAAACCAAGAGTTTTTAGCACAATCAAGTTTTGTTATATGAGTAGAGTTTTCTTGTAATGTTCCCTTCAACTCATCAAGTCTTTTTATAATTTCTTTTAATGGATTTTTTTTACCGCGCACTAGACGCTTTATAGTTTGCAAATAATTTTCAAATCGAAAACAAGAATAAGCATCAAGAGGCAATTGAAAATATTCAACATCATCAGGAAGATGTTTCAGATTATGAATACAGTAAACGGTAAAGGTATTACCATAATGTTCATGGGCATTGGTTACAAAATAGTTAATTAATTCACGTGCTGAATTTAAATAAGTCTGCCTCAAATTTATATTCTCTTCACATAACATACGAATGGCAAGCACTAAACTTAAGAAATGCTTGTATGTTTTAGGATTTAAAACATTCTTAAGAACAACAATACCAGTATATAAAAGAAATGTTCTAAGTTCAGTTGCCTTCCAACGATTAACCTCAGTCAATTCACGAGGCTGTCTTACAAACTCTGAAGGTAGCTTTCCTTTAATTTGACTTAGACGATTAGAAATTTTTATTAAGTTTGCAGCAGATAATCTTCCTGAATATATACGTGGATATGAGCCTTTGAAATAATATAAAATACGACGCACAGCACCTAAACAAACCAGATGCATATAATCTAATGGAAATTGTTTAACAAGATCTAAACTATGTATTTCATACAAGGGCGTTATATTGTGATGATGACACCTGTTATCATTATTTCTTTCAGAATATTGACCAGTCCGTAGCCCATTATCAGTTCGTGATGAAATTAAATTAGGATTTGTTGTATCATATACTATCCGACCCTGAACTGGGACCCCATAATCATCGCAACGCTCACATGCATTGTAACCACTGTGTTGCACAGTTCCCTTTAAAAGACTTCGAGCCGGTGAGTCACATGGAATCGCAAATATTGAAACAATATAAAACTTTCCACATAAAATAACAGTTTTATTATGAAATTCCTGAAGTTCTTTTGAAAAATCATGCAGAAAATTAATTGCAGTTGGCTTATCATACCCACCATACAACGCAATTGTAAACGGATTGAAGTTAGAAAATTGGGATGTTATTAACCATAACTGGTATCCAGATGACTTGAAAATTGGAAGACCATCTACATTAAACAGAAGTTTAATTTCTTTATCAGCATAAATATTATTTTTTAATATATCTTCGAGACCTTTTCTTATACCGAGGTAGTAATATTCTCCAGCATTTAATTCTGTGGTTTGAACTTTATCTAATGTGCCCAAGATGGATCGTGAATCTTTAGGTAGTTGATGACCATGAGATCTTAAAATGTTTAACAAACCATTGACACAAGCTTGTGTGCATCGGTGTTGCAGAGCCCAAATACGAATGTGTTCAGACAGTAAATGGTCATAACTGGCATCAGTAAAAGTGGAGAACTGGCATTCATTAGAAGTATCATAATCATTAGTATCATTACTTAAAGGAAAATTTATTGTCTCAGACAAGCAATTGTTATCATTAAACTTAGCAGAATTATTTTCTGAAAACAAGTCATGACTAGATTCACTTTCTGATCGATGCTCAGGAAATAACTGTGAATTTTTTAAAGAATAAGTTTCGTTTGTGCTAGTGTGCTCCTCAACCCACTCATCTTCATCAACAGATTGTGAGATTGCAAAAACATGTTTTCTGATGTTTCGCCAATAAGTAGTTCGCTCGCTAAAACAAAATTTTAACTATTTGAAGGAACGTTGAGTATACCCTATTTTGAAGGTCCAACAATTTTAATCTAAATAAAGCCTCTTGATCATATTTTAAAGCAGTTAAACAATAAAGATATAAAAATAAATGCAAGGAAATATAACATTGTCTATGTTTTTGTCAATCAATTAATATTTTAGACACTTTAACAACTGCATATATATATATATATATATATATATATATATATATATATATATATATATATATATATATATATATATATATATATATATATATATATAAATATATTTTGTATATATATATATATATATATATATATATATATATATATATATATATATATATATATATATATATATATATATATATATATATATATATATATATATATATATATATATATATATATATATATATATATATATATATATATATATATATACTAAAGTGAGAGACATTTACTAACAATTACAAACTGATAATGCGTAAAGATCTACTGTCATAGTCTATGACAGTAGACCTTTACGCATCATTTTTTAGTTTTTTACGCATCATTTTTTAGTTTTTTACGCATCATTTTTTCTTTAGTTATTTCGTTATGACAGAGAAATAACTAGAAAGAAAAATAAAAATTGTATATAAATTCTAAAATAGCAGGTATAAAATAGATCGCTTAAAAGTAAATATAGTTATTGTTTTAACAAGGGAAAAAGGCGTTGTCCAGAATCTTTCTTAAGCAACACAATTCTAAGATATTATTATCAATCATTATATTACTTATATAATTTACTATTACTCAAGTGAAATATTATAAAATTATTTAAAACATATTCTTAGCTTTTGACTTAAAGCTAAGACTCATAGCTTTATAAACCTTTATTTATAAATACATACTATGATAATGACCTTATTTCTCATAGTACGAAAAATTAAGGTTTATAATCTGGCTATAATATACTATATTATATAGCCAGATTATAAACCTTAACTTTTATTAATATAGCCAGATTATAAACTTTAAGTTTTCCCTAATATAAAATAGGTGTTGACCTACCTGTGGGATCTTTTTTCAGGGTTTTTCTTAATTCTTTTTTCATAACTTTTTGAATCCATTCCGAACAATTTAAAATAATTTAAATTTAAATCAAACAGATTAACAAGATTATCACGAGTGGAAAGTATAGCAAAGCACGTCGATAAAATAGCTTCAGTAAGCGCATGCGCATTAAAATCAAATGCGGACGTCTATGGACGTCCACGGATGTCTAATTACGAGAATGCAATGGATCAAGACGAATTTAGACTAAGTTGGACGTCCTCGGACGTCTAAGCACGCCACGGACGATAGGACCAGTTTTGCACGTCCTAGGACGTCTTGCAGACGTCCAATGTTTACTGGGTATACTTATATTTTTAACGGTTTAATTTGTAATAATGTTATAATTTTTTGTGTTTCTAATTTTATTATTATTGATTTTCTTGAATTATTTTTAAATAATATTCTTTTATTATATTAATATTTTTCTTGTATTATGTTATTTTTCGTTAATATAATTAATAATTTTTTGTTCGATGATTTTTTTAGTTGTTGTATCTTTTAATGTTATTTATTTATTATACATATATTATCTGCTATTATATTATTTATTACTAAATTAACATTTAAAAATTCTTTATACTATATATTTTTTATGATTACTAGTTAATTATTATATCCTTTATTTTTAAATTATACTATATTTATTTATTATTGATTTATGCCATACTTTATATATTATTGCTTTGTTTTTAACTTATATGCATTTTCATATTGATAAACTTCGCAGTCTCATAAGTTCACTTACCATTCTTCCAACAGTATTTGGAATTTCGGAATCTAAATTGTACATTAACGATCCCAATATAACTGACATTACTATAAATGGTTATAACATTGAACAATGCTCTACTGAAACTAAAAGAGGCGGTGCTTTTCTATACTTACAATCCAATCTAATACAATGTCAGAAGAGATCTTATAGTATATGCCCCAAAATACCTAGAATCTATCTTTATTGAAATCATCAATCCTTTTAAAAAAAATATCATTGTTGGCTGCATAAACCGGCATCCTTCAATAAACCCAAAGGAATTTATTTCTGATTATTTTAATTCTGTACTTGAAAAACTTAGTTCTGAAAATAAACAGGTTATGTTTATGGGCGACTTCAACATAGACTTACTAAACTACAATGAATCCCTTCCCAGACAGCAAGCTTACATTGGCCCAACGTAAGTTTTAACATTGGCAAGTTTATTCCATTGGGCCATGTTAAAAACATTAGCCAATGTTTTTTTTCGGCGAATTATTTTCAATTTTGCAAATCGGTTTTTTGCAAATATCGTAATATATTGGGCCAACATTTAACCAATGCTTTTTTTTCGGCGTAATATTGCAATTCTACAAGTCGGTTTTTTGCAATTATCGTACTACGTTGGGCCAACATTTAACCAATGTAGTTTGAGCTTAATATTTACATTTATACCGTAGCCAATATTCGGCCAATGTAGTTGCGGATTAGTATATACTTTCAAATTTGTTGCAAAACATTTTTAAAAATGGCATCGTTTGACAGAATAAAAAAAAATTTAATATTATCTTTCCATTTTTTTAAATTATAAAAATAAAAAAAAAGAAGGTATATTTATTAATCTTTTAAAAATCTTAAAAGGTTCCTTATAAGAAATAAACTTCAAGAGATTCTCGTGACTTAATGTTTTGTTTTTTTAAATAATGAAATATTTGTTAACATTTTAAATGTCATTTAAACGTAATGCTTAAAACATTTTTTACTACAATCTAAATTATTAATGTAACAATAAAAGCAATAATCAAATAATTTTTGTGTAAGATCTTAAAGTTATTTTTTTATTTTTATTGCTGTATTGGCATTTCAAATGTTTGATTTATTTTATAATCTTTGTTAAATAAATGAAACATTTCAAATGTGTTTTTGTGTAAGATCTTAAAGTTATTTTTTTATTTTTATTGCTGTATTGGCATTTCAAATGTTTGATTTATCTAATAATCTTTATTAAATAAACGAAACATTTCAAATGTTTGATTTATTTAACAAAGAAGACATTTTAAATGTCTTCTTTATAAATAAATCAAACATTTAAAATGTCATACAGTATAAGTTTTTTTTTTTTCATAATTTATTTATAATAATTTAGATTATATAGCTATTATAAAATATATTATTAAAGGTATCAATAATACATATGTAGCATTGAAGTTATTAGAAGCTGATATTTTACATTTTAAGTATGTCTCTTTTGTTTGATTTTTTCTGTGTGTGATTGTGAAACCCCATCTACTAAATTAAAACTGTGAAACCCCATCTACTATATTAAAACTGTACAAAAAGTGATGTTACTAGAATTTATATTCTACTTTTGTAGAGCTTTCTAATATTGCCAAACATTTTATTTTAAGACCAATGACTAGTCTATAATAATTAATTGAATTATGAGATTAAATCAATAAATGATCATTAGAAACCATAAAGCTACAGTTACGCAGCCTAAAATAATTATATTTTTGCGCTTGTTGTGTCAGGGGGTTTTGCTACATCAACTATCTTATAGCCTGCTGCTACAAGGAAGTGCTGCTACATCGAATGAGGGTTTGGCATGGGGTAGCAATCTTTTTTCACTTTATTATTTCAATTATATTCCTATTGTTTGTAAAGCCTCTACTGACAAGCGGAAAAATAAAATTGTTTTAGGCCACGTAACTGTAGGATTACCATTAAAAACAATTAAAATAAAAAACTCAATTAAAATCATTATTTTTATTTGTCTGATTTAAGTCATGATTTAAATCGAAACAACCCTTTATATGTTCCATCTTTCTGAGGCAGAGTGACATTATTCTTGGTTTTATTATTTTTTAATTTAATATCTCTGGATATTATACATATTTAGTGCAGTAGCGTAGCTAAGGGCTCGCAGGGCCCGCAGCCGCAGGGAGGCCCAGAGTTATTAGGGGCCCAAGGCAACAAAGAAAAAATTAAAAAAAAGTGTCAGTACAATAAATAACATGCGTATCATTTAACATACATACAAAACATATATTTTACACTTTGTACATTATTATGCAGTTAATATATATAACTGTAACATGTATAACTTTATTTGTAACATGTATAACTTATTTGTCTAGAAGGAAGGTAAAGGCAAGGTGGGGGGGGGGGGAGGGAATAGAAAAGAAGAAATTTGGGAGCCCGGATTAAATTTTTGCGGGGGGAAGGGGGGTCAATTTTTTGTCGCTACGCTACTGATTTAGTGTGCGTACAACAGTTAACAACTTTAATCTTATACATTAACTTTAGTTATAACTTAATTATTAATGGTTTGATTTATAGATTTTTAAAGCAATACAAGATTAAATTTAGCAGAAGGCTAAACTTCTGCTCTGGAGAAAAAAAAGAAAGACAGCGAAAAAAAGAGACAAAAAATTGTGTATATCTTGGTGTTGATGATTTATCCTCAATTTCTTATAATAAAACAAAAAATATTATTAAACTTGAGGATTTATCTGTAACTCGAAACTCTTTACAGAAGTTCAATGTTTGCTCTGAGAAGTTGAATGAACAAAATTTATTAAATGGTAAGTTTTTATATAAAAGTCTTTAAGTCTGATGATTGAAAATCTATATTCATAGCTTTAACTTTTACAATTTTAAAGACTTTTTCACATATTACGGTCAAAAAGTCAGAGTGTTAATTAACATTTCATTGTATAATAATCAACATGTCAAAGCTTACACCACAGGCTTGGTCAGAAAATATATTTAGTTTCAAAAAACTGGCCAGGTTTTTTAGTTGTTTTGAGAACATTTAAGTTTATGAACGTAACAAAATTTTTTTGTTGGATTTCAAAGTTGGTGTCACCAACTTTGTAAACCATTTGAAATCAAATGTTAAAAAAAACAACAGTATTTGTATTTATATCAGTATTCATATCAGTTTAAAGTTTTAACAGTTGCTAGTGATTCATTATTATTCATTATATAAACGTTTATTCAAATTTATCTAATAGACGAAGGTAATACATAGACGAAAGTAATACAATATTTTTATAGATGATATTATTTTCTAAAATAGTGTTATTAAAATTCAGAACTATAATATGTAAAAAAAATTATTTATAAACATTGGGCAAGGTCCGTACTGTACCTTGAAATCTGGAAAATTTGTTAATATTGGCTAAAGTCGTGGAAAACCTGGAAAAGTCAGGAAATTATTTTTTTCTTTAGGTAATCATGGAAAAATCAGTAAATCTAGTTAAGAAGTTACTCGTTTCTCAAATGAACGCTGTATTTTGAAAACGTGATGAGTCACACTTTTTTTAAAAGTGAGGTTATTTGAAAAGAATATTTTCAAAAAAATATTCTTTTCAAATAACCTCACTTAAAATAAAAGAATATTAAAATAAAATAAAGATTTTTTTAGATAAAATAAATTTTTTTTAGATAAAATAAAGATTATTTTTGATAAAATAAAGATTTTTTTAGAGAAAAGAAACAATTTTTAGATAAAGTAAAAATAAAATTTTTTACAGGAGAAATATTTTTCACTCCCTTGTAAAATTTTAATTTTGTGACTTGACACATTTTCAAAATACAATGTTCAATTAAGCTATTATGTTTTTTTTGGTGCTACCCATTTATTTTTTCTGAAACTTATGTTTTTCTTCGTGTTTATTCTTAGTTATCATTAAAGTACATCATTGAAGTACTTGGTAAACTACAAAACACATCAAATTCAGTTATAAAAATTTGAGTAACAAAGGTATGCTAATTATTGTATTGCCTGAAAGAGTGTCATTGCTATTAAAAGCAGTGAAGAATTCAAGTACTCAGGAAGAAAAGAAAATACGTAAGTAAATGGTAAATATTTTTTTATAATTTTTTTATGTATTTTGTATGATATCTTAGTACAATTTATATACTTTAAATAAAATACTCTTTGAAGATTTTTTGTAAATTACATTTTATATTAATTCAAGTCTAAACAAAAGTTATTTAATTATTGCCAGGTTGTGTATTTTTGCAGGTCAATTATTTAGCACAAATCGGAGTTAAAGACAAAGGAGATTGTATATTTTATTTGCTAAGAATAGTTTTTTAAAATGGCCTAGTTGTAAAATTAAACTATACAGGGAGAGGGCAAAAAATTGGAATAGAAAAAATGTTGATTGCATATGCTGCTATTGGTAAGTGGTTTAGAAAAGTTTATTTTTTTAGTTTCAATTTTGCATTACAGAATTACTTTCAATTTGTTATGTTTCTTGGGTGCATAATTAAACAAACAACTATTTTTTTTGCAGAAAAAGTCAAATAAGCATGGCTTATGTAGACATGTGATAGAGATAGTGGAAGAAAAAATAATAATCGTGGGCACCAAATATCATAACCTAAACACTATTCAATAACAAGTAGCTCAGCCAATATCGAAACTACTCTAAATTTTATAGTGAATTTTTTTATTTAAAACTCAATGTGTCAGTTTTTGGTTTAAGTTTTGTGTTTGCAATATGTATATTTAACCGAGAAATTATGTTAAATAAATAAATTTTTATACTTATATCATACATTCTTTTTTTTCTCTATAAATTTTCAATGTAGCGATGCAAATCATCTTATTTGTAACAACGATCTAATGTTGCATAAAACGTTAGGCCGATATATAACATACGATATTGGGCCAATGTTGTATACAACATTAGGCCAATTTTGTATACAACGTTGGGTCAATGTTGTATACAACGTTGGGCCAATGTTGTATACAACGTTGGGCCAATGTTGTATACAACGTTGGGCCAATGTTGTATACAACATTGGCCTAACGTTATATACAACGTTGGGCCAATGTTGGTTAAACGTTGTATACAACATTGGGCCAATGTTGTACACAACATTGGGCCAATACCTAACCAATGATCAAACCTGCATTGGGCCAACATCGACTTTCAACGTTGGGCCAATGCATCATCATGCATTGGCCCAACGTTGGTCCAATGTAAGCTTGCTGTCTGGGTTATTATTGCTGATTACCTTGACTCACTTTGTTCCTATTCTTTTTACCTAACAATAATTCAATCAACGCGAATAATCTGTAAATTTAAAACTATTGATAACATCTTTTTAAATTTTCAAATTCCTAATCTTATTTCTGGTAACGTAACAATATCAATCTCAGATCACATGGCACAGTTTGTTTGCATTCCTAGTACTCCTTTCAAAAGAAAAAAATCCATAACAAACGATCATTTAAGAATTTCACTACAACACACTAAAAAAACTAAACGATCGTTTAAGAATTTCAATGATAATGAATTTATTCAGGATATTTCTAATATAATCTTTATATCAAAAATGGTGATAATGTCAATGAATTAATGAACTTTTTTTAAAAAACATTCTTGATTGTCATGCCCCGTACAAAAAACTGACCAAAAACCAAGTTAAACTCATATCTAAACCTTGGATCACTAATGGAGTTCTGAAGTCAATTGCAATTAAAAATAAGCTCTACAAAAAGTATATAAAATCTAAAAATTCCAACACAAAAAGTCAACTATTCGATAAATTTAAATTGTACAGAAATAAAATTAACAATTTATTAAGAATTTCCAAAAAGTCATACTACATCTCCTTCTTTAACAAAAAACTCAACAAAAAATATATGGAAAGGAATAAAAGAAATTATGAACATCAAACCCTCTACACCAATTAAATCTTACACTCTCAAGTCTAATGGTAACACTATCTCAGACAGTATGGCTGTTGCTAACATTTTTAACAAGTACTATGAAACAATACAACACCCACCCAAAAGTAAAATGATTTCTTCTAAAAGTATCTTTTCTGACTATTTAAAAAATGCTAACTCTAATACTTTCTTTTTTAATCCAATAAGTAAATATACATTTAATAAAAAATAGTTTACAAAATGGTAAAAGTTTAGGACTAAAAAGTATCCCCACACACCGTCTTACACTTACTTCTCATGTTATTTACAAGCCTCTGTGTACCATATTGAATAATTCTTTTAATAAATCTCTTTTTCCAGATGTTTTTAAAATAGCCAAAGTTATTCCTTTCCATAAAAAGGGTTCTCTAATGGACCACATAAATTATCGACAATTTCTCTTCTATCTAACATTAGTAAAATATTTGAAAAAGCCATGTACAACAGACTTTATAGCTTTCTTGACAAAAACCAATGCCTTTACAAACATCAGTATGGATTTCGTAACAAACACTCCACAACAAAAAATAACTGAAACTATTAGAAATGCTCCTGACAATAAACTTTTTGCATGTGGAGTGTTTCTTGACTTAAAGAAAGCCTTTGATTCCGTTGACCACTCCATCCTCTTAAGTAAATTAAAACACTACGGTGTTCGAGGTAATACTCTGCAATGGTTTTCATCATATCTTTTTAATAGATTGCAATTTGTCCCTATCAATGATGCCAAATCTTTTCAAAAAAAATGCTCCACGGGTGTACCCCAAGGTTCTGTATTAGGATAATTGCTTTTACTTATTTTTATAAATGATCTTAATATCTCTCTAAAATTTTCAACGGCTTACCATTTTGATGACAACACCAACTTACTCATAACAAACAAATCATTAAAAAAATGATTCTTCAATGACTGCGCTCTAACAAACTAAGTCTTAATACCAATAAAACTGATCTAATTATTTTCAAATCAAATCAATCTAAAATGTATAAAAACCTAAACTTTAGACTAAGTGAACAAAAAATCTTTCCCGTAGTTTCATTAAAATATCTTGGAATCCAAATTTACTCAGATCTATCTTTTTCCTCTCATCTTAAAAACTTAGCATTAAAATTGTGTAGATCAAACGGGATGCTAGCCAAAATTCGCCACTCTGTCAGTTATGAAACTCTACTTAATATATACCATGCAATTTTTGTATCACATCTTAGATACGCTTGTCAGGTTTGGGGACAATGCAAGTCTATTGCTTTTTTAAGGTTATGTAACCTACAAAATAAAGCTTTAAATTATCTATGCCAAATCGTTGTTCGGTAAAATACGGTGATAATTCTATTACAAACCAATGCGTAAAATCGTGTAATTACCTTTTCATTTTGAATCCCTCAACTCTTTTTCACAATTAAAAACCCGTCTTATTGACTTTTTGATAGAAAAATACTTTAATTAAAATTTTTGGCTAATAATAGATTATTATTCAGGCGCGGATCTAGGGTATTGCCGTTGTGGTTAAAGCTACACCTTAAAATAATCAACGAAATAGAAAACAGTATAATACTCGAACATATTTTTAAAATAAAAAAAATATAAGTAATTAAAATAAGTTTATTTCTATTTGCTGTGTAAATTCGACTTTAAAAGCGATTACTTAAAACTAAAAAAACCGGAATTAAAAAAAAAGATGGAATATCGGTTTGTGTCATGGAATATCGGTTTGTGGCTAAGTCATAAACGCCCTGATTTTACCTCATAAGTTGACTAAATTATTGTTTTTTTTTAACGTAATATTTTATTTTCATTGAAAAGTTGTATACCGTCAACTCTCGTAGCCCGTGGCTAGATTGCTTTTGCCTTGTGGCTGTACTTATTTCCCAGTCTTTTTATGCATAGTTATTTTCAAATAAGCAAAGCGCCTTTATTATTTTCTTAGTAAGTTGGTAATTATGGCGGATATGTTTTGAAAAAAAACTGTTCCAAATGCTATTCATTCACATTCATAACATTAAATGTTGCAAAAAAAAAATTTTTATAAAACAATATGGTTTGAATATTTCACCAGTTTAATTTCGTAGTTAAACTTTTGGCTTTTAAATGCCCTGATATAAATGTTTTCATGTCATATTTTAAAATGGATCAAGTTTTTGACAAAACTTTTGTAGCTTTAAGGTATATTTTTAACTGTGTTTTCACGAACTATATTTGTAATAAAAATAACAAGCTTTTTATAACTGTAGCTAGTTTACTTATATACAACTGTTTCTGTGCTTATTGTTTTAAAATTCTTATAGCATTTAACTAAAACATTATTTTATTAAACAGGTTGGTACTATATAAAATAGTTTTGCCACAGAGCTATATAAACATTTTTTTTTGCTATAAATGTAAATAATTAAAGTATTACATCTTTATTTCTTTAAAAAAAACTTTAATTTTTAAATTGAAGCTTTAATTAAAGAGGATCTTATAATTTGATTCTATTATTAATTAGAATCAAATATAATACAATATTGGAGACTATAATATAAGAGAGTCCTCAAAAAAGACTTGAAGGAAGTATTTTCGAACTACTTATTTTTGGAGTTTATGCAGGTGACACTATCTTATAAGATCATTTAATATCAGCTTTTAAAAATATCATATTATTTGTTAAACCACTCAAATTCAACTTATGGAGTGTTGTAGTGAGGCTTTTGAAAAGATTCTTATTTTTGAAATTAATAATAGTAACTACTATTCAGTTTTAGCTGATAAAGCATCTGATTGTGCCAATCTTAAACAGTAGTCTATCGTTATAAGATATATAGGCAATAACTATAATACTCGTAAAGATTTCTTGAGGTTTATTGATTGTCCTTAATTATTTAAATGTGCCCAAAAATTACAGGCATGTTTAAATAATTATCTTTCTGTTGGTAAAGCAAAGCTAATAAATGTCTGTTTTACTTGTTGGGTTTGAAAAGGCTTTTTTTTTTTAGCAAAAGTCTCTTCATAGTTCATGTTTGAATTTTATTTCAATGTAACTTTAGTTTTAACCAAAATTTGATGGATTGATTTTTTTAGATTGTAATTAGACTCCAAGATAAGCAATGCAACATTTTTTAAATTTCAGAATCTTGAAATTGACAAATAAATTAATTAATAAATAAAAAATAAATAAATTCTTCAAAGAGATTAAATTTGGTATTGATTTATATTGCTACAACTGGTATAATATTGCTTTTGAATTAGCTCTGACTTTAAATGTAAAAGTAAACAAAAAACTAAAAAATGTGGAAAGCTAATCAATCATGATAATCACTCATCATCTGATTATTTTAAGCTTTCTACCACTTTATCTATACTGGACGATCTTATTAATGAGCTAATTAGTTATATAAGATTTCAAACAGAAAGCAAGTTGGTAAATATGGGATGTTTGCAGTTCCAACTGTCATATTTAACTACCTGAAAACTAAATAAGATTTGCAATTCTACTTTCACGAATTTCTAAATATCTATCATTTCAACTCTGCATTCAACCTTTATTTATGCAGAGCTGGATTATGAAAGCCTCTTTAGAAAAATCAATCAAAACCCCCATCTAGTATTTTTTAAACAAAAGTCATGACAATGACTAATTTTGCCAACATTCTCGAATAGTTTAAAGGTTTAATTCTAGGTACAATACCAAGAGATTAAAAATTTATCCAAGAAACTTTAAAGTCAATTTAATACCGAAATGGTTCTAGATAAAGACAGGGTTAAAAAAATTTCGTCAGCTTCTGGAGAGAGATGTTTAAAGTTGCTATTTAAGCCTTA